ATAGGCCTAGAGCAATTTTTATCTTGGAATATAAATTGGCCTAAGCCTAGAGTATAAACTAGCCCAGGCCACATTAACCCCAGGTTTTATATTACTGTAATGCATTCCAGACTGAGGGTATACTATGGCCTGTTACACAGGCGTAAACAAACAAACAATCAAAAAAATATGGTTTTGAGTGTCTCATGACTCACACATTGTAACTTTTTTCTTTTTTCGACTGCTCCCTTCTTAGGGAGTCGCCACAGCAAACTATTTTGCACTAAGACTTGGCAATTGTTTTTATGCCGGATGCTCTTCATGAAACAATCACAGTCCATTGAGCTGCCACAGCCCTCTGTGTGGAGCAGAGCGCTACTATCTATGTTGCCCGGGGGAGCAGATGGTGGAGATTAAGAATCTTGCTCATGGGCCCAAATTGGGGCAAATGAGGGTGGAGACAGGAAGCAGAAGCGGGAAAGGGCTGCATTCAAGCTAGGCTAGCGGCTAGCCCACACAAGCTGGCCGTCCCATCCATAGTTTTGGCTAACATACGCTCTTAGGACAATAAACTGGATTATATATGCCTACTACAAACAACACAGAAGACTGTGAGAGACAGTTGTGTTTTTGTGTTTATGGAAACGTGGCTTAAAACAATGTTCCGGACCATGCTATTCAGCTCGAGCGGCTAACATGGTATCAAGTGGACAGAGCTCTCATGGAGGGAAGTAAGACCTGTGACGGGGGCTCTGTGTTTATATCAATAATGCTTGGGGTCGTGATGCTGCTTTTGTCTACAAACACTGCTCACCTTTAGTAGAGTTTATGGTTATTAAAGGCCGACCATTCTATTTACCGAAGGAATTTACAGCTGTTATAATTGTTGCTGTTTAAATACCTCCAAGCTCCAGCAACATAAATAGAAGTGAGACACTAATTGAACTGTATCTGCACATCAGTGAGCAGCAGACAGCCCACCCTGATGCTTTTCTCATCGTGGCTGGCGATTTTAACCATGCAGACCCAACGAGTGTGTTTCCAAAGACATACAAACGCATAGCCTTTCCATCAAGAGGAAACAATACACTGGACCTAGTTTACACCACCATGAAAGAAGCTTACAAGGCCCTTCCCCTCCCTCACATCGGCACCTCTGATCACATCGGTGTTATGCTAATGCCAGCATACAGACCACTGGTTAAAGTTACCAAACCAGTCTGCAAGCAGGTACGAGTGTGGCCAGAGGGGTCTTCAGAAGCAATTCAGGACTGTTTCAACACCACATATTGGAATATGTTCAAAAAATTTACTACCAAAAACAACACCACATGTCTTCAAGAGTACTCGGATATTGTATGTTCATACACTTCACCAAGTGTATTAACCATGTAACTGACCTCAAGACCATCACTGTTCGGGCAAATTAGAAGCCATGGCTGACAGCAGAGGTCTACAGGCTCCTGAGAGCCAGGAACTCCACCTTCACAGTAGGAGATCAGGTGGGCCTGAGGACAGCCAGAAACAACCTGTCCTGGGGCATCAGAAAGGCCAAGAAGCAGTATTCCAGGAAGATAGCTCATCGCTTCGGTGACAGCAAGGATACATGGAGTCTGTGGTGGTGAATACAGACCATCACAAACTACAAGCCAGTTCCACAGACCTGTGACAACACAACTTCTACACTGAATGAGCTGAATGAGCTGAATGAACTGAACTGAATGACTTCTTTGCTCAGTTTGAGGCATATAACAGCACATCTGCACAGATCCCCCCCCCCCCCCAATGACCAGGTGCTGACGCTGTCCGCAGACAGCATAAGGCGATCATTCACCAAGATCAACGCCCAAAAACCTTCTGGTCCTGACAACATACCTGGTTGTGTGCTGAGAGACTGCAGGGGAACTTGTAGCTGTCTTCACGGATATATTTAACATCTCGCTGAGTCAGGCCATCATCCCAACCTGTTTCAAAGCTACCACCATCATCCCTGTCCCAAAGAAGGCATCACCCTCCTGCCTCATTGACTATCGCCAGGTGGCTCTCACCCCTATCCTGATTAAGTGCTTTGAATGGCTAGTCACGAAACGCATCAAATCCATCATTCCTGCCTCCCTGAATCTTTTCCAATTTGTATATCGGCCTAATCATTTGACCGACGATGCCATCTCCTCTGCCCTCCACACAGCCCTCACATAACTGGACACTAAGGACTCTTATGTTAGAATGCTGTTCATTGACTTCAGCTCAGCATTCAACACCTTCATCTCCCAATAGCTCATCCTTAAATGGGACAATCTGGGGCTGAACACCTCATTGTGTAACTGGTTGCTAGACTTCCTAACCGGGAGACCACAGGCAGTACGGGTCAGCAGTAACACATCGAGCACCATCACACTGAATACAGGGGCCCCCCAAGGATGCATGCTGAGCCCCCTTCTATTCATCCTGCTGACACACGACTGCACACCATCATACAGTGCCAACTACTTTTTCAAGTTTACGGACGATACGACTGTGGTGGGTTTCATCAGCAACATTAGTGCGACAGACTACAGGAACGAGGTGAGCCGCCTGGCCTTGTGGTGTGCACACAACAATCTCTCTCTGAACAAAGGAGATTGTTGTGGACTTCAGGAAGATGCACGCCCAGCATGCTCCTCTGACCATGAACGGTACTACTGTGGAGAGAGTGAGCAGCATCAAGTTCCTGGGAGTGCACGTCTCAGAGGACCGGTCTTGCAGCAGGATTACTGCATCACTGGCCAAGAAGGCTCACCAGTGCCTCTACTTTCTCCACAAGCTGAAAAGAGCTGGAGCTCCAACCCCCATCATGTGCACCTTCTACAGGGGCGCCATAGAGAGTGTCCTGACCAGCTGCATCATGGTGTGGTTCGGTGCATGTAGGATACTAAACTCTGCTGGCTCTGCCTCCACACCGTCTTGTACCACCTTAACACACAAAACTTTCACACACTACCACACAACACAAAAACTTTTAACATTGAACTCTGCATCATTAAAAACGGGTTATACACTCAACACGCTCATGTGCTCATTCAATTTGCACTACTGTTTACATTTGTACTACTTTTTATATTACACTACTGTTTATATATATATATATATATATATATTACTAGCCTTATTGCATATGTCACTTTAACTCTATACCAATATCAAGGAATTCACACATATACTGTGTACTTTCTCTCTAAGTGACTTAAAAACCCTGTTAAGTACCTGGCAAAAGCCAATGTAGACATGTTTCTGTTTTTAGTTTTCTAAATCACCTTGTGATCTAACTCTTTTTTGCTGCTTTTTCTCTTGATTGTCCTTTTGGTTGCTATTTTGTTTCTATTTGTTATAAAAAAAAAAAGAGAAATTTAAATTTGTATGCCTATTTTATGACTATTGTTATTATTGTTGTTATCCATTGCTGTCATCACTCTTTGTTCAGAAATTAGGTCTCTCTTGTAAATGAGTCCTCGAGGCTCAATGGGATTAAACTGTCTAAATAAAGGTTGAATGAATGAATTCACTTCATATGTTGCTTTGTCACTTTACTACAAATGTCAATGTCAAGACCTTCATACTTATAGATATATTCTGATGAATGCTCAATAATCCAGGTAGAAGAATCTAAAAAAGTTAAATCTGGTTCTCTGGACATTCAAAAAAACAAAACAAAACAAAAAGTTTTAGAAACGTTTCGTCTTTCATCCGAAAGACTTCCTCAGTCTGAGGTGCTGTATTCAGCTCAGTCTTATAAATAGCACCTTCTCAGAGTGGATCAACCAGTTTGTTGCTGACAACCAAAACCAGCTGCTCACCTGATCAAGGAGGACCATCAGCCTAACAACGGATCATTAGCACACTGATGGCTGTTTACTATTCACAGGAGGCTGAGTGATACTAGCAATCACAGCATTGTAAGAGGGGGACAGTTGAACACGTAGGCCTCCACCCCGTTTAATGATGGACAGTTTATTTTCACAAAGATATATAGATATGCATTTTTAAAAATATTTTTATACAGCTATACTTACAATTTAGGATAGTATCATACTTTTATTTTTATTTTTTGCTAATGTTTATTAAATGTTTTAATGTCTATTGTTGCACCAGGGGTGTGAGAGTAATGAAATTTCAATCCTATGTATGTCCTGTACATATTGCAGTTTTGACAATAAAGTTGACTTTGACTTTGATGTTTCACCATTCCCACCCACATTTTGATGTTGTCTGTCGGGGGAGTTGAACTGGCGACCTTCCCATCATAAGCCCACCTTCTTTAATCTCTGTGCCACCACTCCCCATAATTTGCCCATTTTAACTAGATTTCATATATTTGAAAATCACTGCCCATCCTTGGAAACAAGGTTGCCGGGGGTTCTCATCGATCTGGCACAGAATCAGGGTCCAATGTTTCGTGTGGTGACAACATATCCATGACTTGGGACCTGTATGCAACAGTGTGGGTTTGTCATTGACAATTTGAAGCAGAACTGGTCTTGTTTCCAAGGTCATGGAAACAACTTATCCCAGATGTGAAACACATGGCGATAATGACGAGCTAGCATGGACATGATCTTCTAGCGCATAGCGGCATCCTCCACCATCCATCCCAGACACTCATGGCAGGGCTGGAGGATAGACTGGTGAAGGTGCGGAAGAGAGTTTCAGGGACCTGGAAAATATTAGAAACTGTATTTGACGAGTACTAAGAACGTTTTAAAAGAATAGCACGATGGGAGCCTTACTGGTTGCATGAAACCTTTTATGTTTAAGACTTAATGTTATACATTTTTCTTTTCCTGTCATTTATGCTTTTGTTTATTGATACTGTTAGATGATGAATGCTGTTGTCAAAAAAAAACCTACTTTGTTAAGTAAAATAATTTAGTCTCAATGCCTTCAACCGTTGTTGCTCCATTGAAATGAACTACACTTTATCTGTTCAGATAAGTAGAAAGCCGTTCCAATTAACACCTGTTTTTTTCTTCTTTGTCTTTTTGTAGATGTGGGGTTTTTACAAGCAAGGCTACAAGTGTAAAGGTAAGAGAGGAAATCATTGGGCAGAAGTTTTTGCTCCGACCAGAAGGCAGCATCCAGAGATTCACTGATTCTTTTTGGCTCCATTGATTTCCCATCACAGCACACTCACAGATGCATGCACAAAATGTCAACAACACACCAGGATGGCCGTGTGGTGTACTATTATTTTTCTTTAGCCTATATCCATAAAACCCTGCTCACAACATCTGGATGTTCTCTTTCAGCGTACGGATTGTACAGACAGGTGTTTGAGGACGGAGCCTTGTTTCATAAACGTACAAAGACAACTTCCAACACCTCCCCACTGTCAGAACTCCTGCTCATTAGCTGCATAAACACTCAGTTCAGCTCCCTTCTCTCCACTGGGCATCTCCTATCAGTGGTCTCTGGTGCTGACAACCTGCAGACTGAAAATGACCATAATGGCAAATAAGCCTAGCATTACCTGAACAAATGCATATAATCCATCACCAGAGTTCAAGACTAAGATCATTTTGAGAACAGGTTATTTTGATCAAACCGTGAAACAAAGTCATGCATGATATATTGTGTTGTTGGATTTTTTATTTTTTTTAATATACAGTATTAGTGCTTGAATCTTGTGTTGAGAAGTACTCTGCTTCTAGAACACCAAATTTTAGCTCTATATTGGTGAATTTATTTAAATTAAGGTCATTTTTGTCCCTCACTGCAAAGCGAAGGAGAATTGGAAATACCCTCTGTCCATGCACTGGTTGTGAGCACGACAACTTGAAAAATAAGTGATGTACAGTAGTCCTTCGCTACTTCGTGGTTCATTTTTCGCAGACTCGCTCTGTAGCAGTTTTTAAAAATGAGACTGGACATGACACACAATTGGCTGACTGATGGATGAGCCGCACGATCGGCATGAAATTTTTATTCAAAACAAATTATTTTAAATTATTTAGCACCTGCTGCACATGTGTGCAGCCCACCTCCTCCTTCCACCTCCGTCGATCTCCGTTCTGCAGTGGAGAAGTGGGCGTGGCCGAGAGCGCAGAGTGCAGCGGAGACAGAGAGCTGAGTTCATGACATTCTGTGCTCATTTAGAGTTTCAAAACATTGTTTAGAATAGTACAAGAGTGTGGGAAGGGTTTAAAACGCTTTCATATATATATGGGCGATATGGCTCAAATATATTGTGATATTTCAGAGCATTCTGACGATAATGATAAATTTTGTGATGTAACTAAAAAAACCTGAAATCATAGTTATTCATTTGACAAAATTATCTTAACATGTTGCTTTGCAGTATTATTTAAAAACTAAAAACCAACAAGGGTTAATTTTACTGAAATTACTTTATTTAGTAAAGTATTCAGTCTCAAAGTATAAAAATAAATAAAAATGATCCTTCTGTTATTTAGATTGAAAAAGTCTGCACAAAATATAGATCAATAAATCCACCACAAAAACTAAAGTGCTGGTGAAGTTTCCCAACATAACTAAATAAAATGAAGCTTAAGATTTGTTGAGCATAAATGTAACATACAACAAAATATCTGTTTCCTTTAAATGAACTATAACTTCCACAACTTAACAAGGTGATCAGCTGACCCTGAAGCTTGTGGTGTTTCATCTTCCTCTGTTCCTGCAGGAATGATTCATTTCTCTGATGCTCTGTCTCTGATCACCTGACTCTGTTCTTGGTCCATGGACTGTGGAACTCAAGAGGTAGACCTGCGCGTGTTTGTACCAGCAGTTTAGAGTGTGGGGGGGGGGACCCAGCAGAGCTGTGCCCGCACCGGCAGCCCAGAGCTGGGTGGGGGGAGAGAAAAAAGCCGAGATGCGCTGGTGGTGGGGAGGGAGAGACAGTTGAGCTTTCATTGTCTGTACCTGCAGTTTAGAACTGGATGGAGAGCCGCAGCCGAGCCGCACGTTGTTTGTTTTTAGCATTTTAGCTAGCTAGTATTGTACGCAGCTAATTAGCATTATGCCTGTACCAACAGGTGGATGGCGGGTGCGCAGTTCGGATCGGTAGTTCGGCGCGCTCAGTTCGGTTAATGGGGCGGGGCGCCCCGCTTGTATAATAGTAGGGAAACACTCACGTACTTACGTCATGAAATTAGCATATCGTGATATAATTTATTTTCTCGGGCAAGCTTTTTTTAACCGGTATTATTGTGAACGATATGATATGGCCCAGCCCTTATATATATACTAAAATAAGGCTACTACTTACTACTTGTACTACTATCTCTACTTTGCGGTTTTTCACTTATTGCAGGTCTTCAGGGTACGGATCCCCTGCGATAAACAAGGAACTACTTTATCGACTTTCATCTTGGGCTGTGGCTACATCTAGGTGTAAGAAATGTTCCTTTTCAAAACAGGGTTGTCACGTGGAAATCCAAGATGGCCACCGCCATAAATTTATGTAAAATGATCACCCTTATCATCTGAAGAAACTTTGATTTCTAGTTTTTATATTACTTAAAAGTAAAGCTTCTTCAAAAATGAATGGGGTGCCTAGAGCTTTTTCTTTGGTGGTCAAGGCCACCATTGTCCACCTCCTGGCTCTTCCCATACACAGTGTAAGTCCTACTCACTTGAATATCTCACATCAAAAACAGTAAACATTATTTGCATTCTTTGTCTAGCTCCAGTCCAGATAATCACTCATCTCATCCTACAAACATTCACTATTCAATTCCATCAGCGATGGGAGACATGGGTGTACCTCTTGGTTTTTTTTTTATGTGTGTGTGTGTGTGTGTGTGTGTGTATGCTTGTTTTTTATGACTTCACCATTTTAGAGTTCCTATTTTTTTCTTCTTCTGGTGACTGCAGCTATTCTTGCACAAATACCCAAGAGGATGCGATGTATAAACATGCTCCTCATTATTGTCTTGAACAACGTTGTGTTGTCCGATTGTGTTACTATCATGAAATGACTGCTCATTCATTCAGGCCTTCAGGTGTTCAAACGGTGCTTATTAAATCTCTGGCAGGTCATCATAGAGTGTTTTGGTTGCGTAGCAGCTGCAGTAATTAATGTTTCTTAGAGCTTGTGAGGTTCATCACCAGCAGCTTTCACAGCATTAAGCACCTCGTGTTTTGGAGACAAGAAGAAGAGCCCTGTCTGATCACAGGCTAATGTGCTAATTAGTGCAGACTTATTCTGTTTTCCAGCAACAAAACAAATTAAAATAAATCAACCAGTTTAGCATTTTATATAACATAATAGAAGGGACAGTTAGTCAAACGTGACTGAGTGTTTTTTAGGGTTTTGTTATAAAAAGAGCATCAAGTACAGGTCAAACACACACACACACTCCAGTATCTGCTGTACTTTAAGTGCCTGCAGTCTGACTGGGAGCTGTAATGTGTCCTGGCTTGTTCCATTAATGAGACCAGAGGAAGTCAAAGAGAGAGCCCTCAGTCATTCGTCCCCATTAGCATTGTTAGCTTGGACTCAGGGAGGCAGACGGAGCGCCGGGGACATAATTGAAATGAATCACCCACAGCAGTGCAGGAGTGTGTGAGGGTGCTCTGACGCAGCAGATGTTAGATATTTACTAAATGCAGCAGGCCTCTGGGTGGGGAGAAGGGTGCAGCTCTGTCACGCCAGCATCAGAAGTCCTGAATCAATACACACAAGATTTAAAAGTTTGGTGTTTTAGGCGTTTTCACTTATCCCTTGTGTTGTTCTGTAACTTTACACCGTTTGTGTTCCTCAGGATCAGCCACCTCATTGACAAGTTTAAATATACTGCTGTTAATAATGTTTTCCACAATAAACTTTTAGTAGAGCTTTGAGCCTGAACTAAAAATATCAAGTTATTAAAACGTGTTTTTTTTTTTTTTTTACTCTTTCAGGACCTTAAGTTAAAACGTATCACATTTTAGTTTTTTTTTAAACTACAAAATACTTATTTCATGGCAAGTTTTGTAATAATAATAATAATAATAGTAAAAAAATAAAAAGGCATTTTCCCTCATTGGTATGTCAAAAATTATTTTAGGAGTTTTGTGAAGACCCTCCAGACCACCTGAACCTTCAGATCCAGCAGCTGATAATGATACCTTGTCTTATTTACTTGTGTGTACTTGTGCACAGTGGTCCAAGAAGAATTTAATTTTTTTTTTTTCTCAAACCCTTCTCGTGCACGTATCTGCTTCATTTTTTTCTAATTTTTCCTGCCCCAGATATATTAATGACATGCAGCTTCTGCTATTTATGTTGGCTCAACCTGCTTTGATTGAAGTCAACAGGAGAGTCATTCTGAGAGAATGTTCGGTTCCGCAGCCTGCAAGCATCCCAAACACATTTTTTTGCATTAAATGTGTACTTGTGCAATGTGAAAATGTGTTTTTGCTTGTTATATTCAAACTAAAACAATTTTGTTGGACAAGACGAGAGGCGGACAGCAAGTCCAGTCAGAAAAGAGGCGTCCCTTGACTCCTTAATGTTTACAGCATCTCTCAAATATAATAGCATAGCACCACCTAGTGGGCTAATATAAAAATCTAACGTTTAGGGATAGAGGAAAAAAGAAAAAGCTTTACTGAGAGGATCAAATTACTTTATGATATGATGAATATGGGATTAAAAGTTGTATTTACAGCGTAATGTGGTTGATATTTTCCCCTCAGGAACACAAGAGTGGAATAAAGTTACTGTGAAGTTATGAGAGCATTTAAAAAAATTCTGAAAAAATAAAAATAAAACAAATGTAGAAGTATTTTTAGGCTTTGTCAGAAAAGATGTGTTAAATGACTTCAAGAAAATAAATGTTTAAATAAAAACATGGGCAAAAATAAATGTGGGACTGATTTTTACCCAGTAAACAATAAGGGTTAAAGAGGAGTTGCCAACTTTTAGAAATTAAAACAAAAACATTAACTGGACAAAGTGGAGCAGAAAGAAAGGGGACTTATAATAAACATTACCTTGTTATAAGTTTTATTCGTAAGTTATTAGTTGTAAGAAAGAAATAAAGTCACAACTGGACATTTACCAAAAAAACATTTACAGA